CTCCTTTCTCTTCCCCTTCCATTTTCTCGCTTGAGTGCAGAGCTAGAAGTGTTAGTTGTGAAACCCTTGAAAATGACCATAGATCTCTACTATTCTATTCTTATTCGAACATCAAGACCAGAGGAATTATTTTGAATTGTGGGACAAACTTTTTGGTTTCCTTCAAGAGGTAGTGGCGTGCTGGTTGAGAGATATCTGAATTTCAGGCTCAAAGAAGGCAAAAACAGAGCAAAGGGGACGATCAATTTCCAAGGCAAAATACCCCCACATGGAAAAAAGCAGCATGATCTTAATAACAATATTGTGGAAAAACACTCTCTCTCTCTTTATGGCCCATCCCCTTCCTTCATTCCCATCCTCTGTCTCTGCAATTCCAACACCCCTCCCTCTCTCTCTCTCTCTCTCTCTCACGAGTCACGAATTTAGATGCCAGCAGAAAAGGACCGGGGGGGAGAATCACGATGTTGCCACTAGCATCCTTTTCACAGTCTCTTTTATTTTCAACACATGGAGTCTCTCTCCGATAATGACGTGACAAGACAAAGAAGAAAGGTCTCTCTCTCTCTCTCTCTCTCTCTCTCTCTCTCTCTCTCTCTCTCTCTCTGTGTGGATAGACAAGATAAAGATCCTTTAGATGTGAATAGATGATGAAGAGGAATGTGAAACCAGGAAAAGATGTCCCATGCTCGCTCTTCCGTTTTTGCTTTCTTTCTCCTTCTCTTTTCATCTTTGCGTCTGTTACTCCATGTCGCCGAGTTCAAACTTAATCATGTAAATGCATGGATCTTCTATGTTCTTCTTGAGAGGGTACGAATCTGATATTGTGTTCGATTGCAGAACCAAATGGCGGCCTAACATTATTCAGTAGAAGCTAGAAACTCAAATGAAAGGCCTATTATCGTTGGGTCGTGAAGTTATACGGTCTAACATGTTAATCCTAAAGCTCCAACCTTTTAGTTCAATACATAGGGTATGAGCCCGAATTTGACTATAGCATCATTGGTGCAAACAATAGCAAGGAAAGCTAATATGAACACATTTGTACAACCCTTTCGATATGTAATGGATAGTTACCGAATCAATCAATTAACCTAAATTTATTAAGTCCTAGCGTCTCGTGATATAGCTTATTAAGTTTTAAATTACTAACGTCTCTTGTACTCGGTGCTATCTCTACTAAGTAATCTAGTTACGAACTTGACGTTAATTAATGTGGAATCAATATGAAATCCTGTCATCATTTGCCTGTTGATACAGTTATTTACACGTCAAGGGAGGAAGAATGCTCATCAACATTAAGGAGAGATACTTATGGTGCTCAATCATGGCATTCTGAATTTTTGGGCCATGAAACGTTCCAAAGCAAACCAAAGTCAAAACTTGGGCCGACGAAGAAGGCCCGCAACTCACAGCCCGGTAAAATCGTTCTTATACTCTCTTAAGTTTCACGTTTAGGCGATGATTAGAACAGTCGGCTTGGAAAATAACAAGATCGAAAATCTTTTGTTACGTAAACTCTGCTTGCTTCACTGGAAATGAATAATTTGGCAAGAATTTTCCTACAAGTGATAGCTTATATCGCTAGTAAAAATTAATAAACGAAAAATATTTTCATCATTATTTCAAACATAAATTGTTATCGATGCCGATAGTTTTTTTTCATTGGTTAATTATTTCGAGCCATATGAGGGATCATTTTCAAGAAAATGTTTTTCAAATCATTCATTTTCCTGCGACACAAGCGGAGCCATAGAGTCGCCACGGTTTCGGGCTTACCAAGTTTATGTTGGGAGCGAGGTAGAATGTTTTCTCCAAACTCTTAGACATTGCTATAGAAAAGCTATATTTGATAATTTGCAAGATGGATTATAGCATTTAATGGAACAATTATATGGTACAACACGCGGTTGGATTTTGCTTATTTTATGTTCTTTTTCAACTTCTATATTTGATGGCATGATCTCTTCATATCGGCTGGACCTGAAGCAGCTTCTGGCACATATAATTGTGGGTTCGTAGGAATGAGCTGTCGAGGGAGAGTTGTAAACGCGCATGCAAAAAATACTATAAGCCGTATATAAATGGAAGAAAAATACTATATGCTAATCAAATAAAGAATGGACCGACGCGCAGAACATATGTGACTTCGATGAACAATAAAGGGAAAATGGTGTTGTGTGATTAATTTTAAATTGAGGAATACATGTGAATCTTTGCAGGGAAGGAAGTGAGATCCACTAAAATAGGTCGAAGCCCCTTTTGTTCCTTTGCTGATTAGATTTATCATTTGATAAGCATGAGAATTGCCGACATCACTAATTGCAAAAATAAATAAATTAATTTGGAGTTCGAAGTCGGCGATGTGATCGGAGGGTAGCTGGCACTAACGTGTGAAGAGCATTTTATTTGTTGATGAAAAGGAAAAAATAAAAGATAGAAGAGAGTCTTCGATTTTAATTTTTTCATTTGAGGATGCATAGCAAAAGGATCGAATAATTAAAGTATGTTTAGAGTTTTTTATGGCTATTCTCCCGTTATGTGTAATCGTTGTCTTAAAAATTAAAAGATTCATAATCAAATATGCTTAACAAGTGTTCGGAAGACTATGAATTTCTTGAAGATTTTACACATGAACTTTGAAGTTCATCCTGAATTGATTAGTAAACAATTTTTCCGTTACTTTATATAGATTATTTTTGCAATACTTCTTTGGGAAAAGTCGATAAGCACCTTTTTGATTGAAAAAAAAAAGAAGACAAATCGAGCATATCTACAGCAATATTTGGTGTTTCAGTACGATTTGTCGTAATCAGCAGATGTGGTCTTTCTTTATCAAATGAAATTTTTTTAATTGTTAGGGCTTTGATAGAAAATAAGAATAATACCTTAAAAAATCGCCAATTCGTGAGAAGCAGGTGCTTGTAATTTCGCTTTGAATGTATTTTGAATAGTGTTTCAATCGAATTGGAAAGAATGAAGATGAGAGGAGGAAGTTGGAATTTAACCACGATGAGGTAGCTGGTAAAATATTTATATCGCTCTAATCTTTATTTATATAATAATAAGTAAGAGATTTCTCTGGAATGAAAAGAAATTCGAAATAAGCTTTTCAACTGGATTTGAAAGCATTATTATTTTGATTAGATTTCAACTCATTCCGACTCCGTTTATTTAAAGGAAATTTTTCAATTGGAAAACTTTTTCCTCATTTCCGACGTTTGAATTGATTAGGAAAATGAGTCTACAAAAAATCTTTCTAATAGTCAACAGAAAAACCTACGCTTCAATTCAAAAAATTGTAAGCTCTTCTCCTTCCACTTACTCTTCTAATGATAATTAATACAAATCTCGATATAACGAGAAAATCTTAATGAAAGCTTTTGTTTTTCCATCATATGACTAGACAACGATGTTTTGATTAGAGGCCTCGGCGCTTGGGCACGGGAACCTCGACACTCGTGCCCGAAACCCCCGGTGTCCGTGCCTATGTCCCAGCAGCCATGCCGAGACCTTGAGGCTCATGCCCAAGTTCCAAAAACCATGCCCTGATACTCGGTTCTAGATCCCGAGTCCATTAAGGCCAAGATAATTTCCTCCGCGGCTAGGCTCGAAACCTAGTGCTCATGCCCAAGTCCCCCAATGCGGCCATGTCCGAAACCCTAGTACTCGTACCCAGGTCCCTAGCGGCCATACCCTAGTCTCCAGCTCCCGATCCCGAGTCCATCAAGGTCGGGACCGATTCCTTGACGGTCGGGCTTGGGTCCACAAAAGAGGGGCCTAGGTCCCTTGAGGTTGGGCCCAAGACCCCATTTTCTGTGCCGGAGTACTCGGCTCTTACCCCTATGTCACGAGACCTCGAGTTTGGGGTCTTTTGAAACTAGGCTTGAGTCCATGAAGGCCAGGCCCAATACCTCGGTGCTGGGGGGTTGGGTCCTTGGCTGCCATGCCCGAGAACCCAACACTCGCACCCAAGTCACTGACATTTAGGACTGAGTCTACATATGCCAAGTCTGAACCCATTAAGGCCGAACCCAAGTCCAAAGAGGTTCAACTTAGAACCCCAGTGCGTGTGCTTAGGTCTCTAGCCATGCGCAACTACCTACTCCCATGCTCAAGTCACCGGCGCTCAGGTTCCCAAGTCCCTGACGGCCATGCCTTATGTATGGCTCCACGCCCAAGTCACTATTGCTCAAACCTGTGTCAATTAAGGCCAGGCTTAGATAAATGGAGATTGGGCTGGGGACTTTGGTGCACATGCCCGGGTACCTAGTTCCTGTACCCATCATTGTTGCTTAAGGCTTGGTCCATAGAGGTCGGGCTTGAGACCCCAATGCCTATGCTAGAGTCCTTGCCAGCCATGCCCTGGACCATGATGCGTGTGTTCGGCTTCTTGGCGGCTGTACCCAAATCCACAAATGATGGCCTCTGTGGACTCGAGCTCAACTTCTGTGGACCTAGGCCCGAGCACCAAGGTTCTAAGCCTGGCCTCTTTGGCTCGCCCTTAGCCTTGATGGACTCAGTGGATCCGACCTTGGCCTTTAGACTCGAGTTCGTTGCCAAGGGTCTGAAAGCAAGCATTAGGGTTCCTGCGCCTAAATGCAAGATTTCTGATCCAAGCACTGATATTTAGTCATATTTTAAAAAATGATTTTTGATTTTTTTATTGAGGAAATCATTTTTCTGAATTTAAAAATTGATTTTTCGTTTACTCATTTTCCTTAGTGATTCAAATGCCGAAAAAAAAAGGAAAATACTTTTCGCGAAATAAATGGCGTCTCAAGCTTCAAACCGCTCATGTCGAGACCCTTTTAATATCCACAAGTCAATCAAAGTTTTTATCCAACCCCACGTACATGTATAATCGTAACTCTCTTTCTCATTCTCTGCAATGACCGGTGCAAGAAAAAATCATGATGCCATAATCCGAAAAACGAGCGTTTGGTTTATCGGGGCCAACGAATAAGCTCATCCGGTAAGAGTGAAAGATCCATCAAAGCGGTGGATTTATTGTAACCAAAACAATCCCGGTCCGAGATTATCTTTCGCAATTTCCAAACACCCTATTTATCCGCTATTGATTATCTGTACAAAGGATACAGTCTACTTCTAGTGTAGAAACCATCGAATCCAAGAAGCCTGTGTGTCACCTTTGATCTGATGATGGTCAAGATCACGTTCCCAAGATTTGAGAGTTTTGACATTGATCCCGCCGGAGACTCCTTCCTCTCTTGGGTAGCTCTCTGATTCTGTTACCGTCCCTTCTGGATTCTGCTCCCAAAACAGGGTTTTAGATTCCTTTCCTAGGCTTTTTACCCCCCCCCCAAAATTAGACAGCAACATAATTTCTTGTTTTTTTCTCTTCTTTTGTCTTTCGGTTTTTCGGTGAAACCCCCATTATTGAGGTTGGAAGATCGGTCGAAGAACCAAGCAGCCCCACCCCCCCCCCATTTTTCAAAGATCCTTCCACACAACTGCCCTGTTTAGCAGTCGATCGATCGATCTGAAAACGAAAGCCCTGTTTTTGTTTTTTTTTTGTTGAATCAGCTCTTCCTTCACCTTGTGTGATTTCTTCGGCCATCTGTCCCAACTTACGAGCAGAAAACACCTTCCCAGCTCGACCCATCACGCCATTCTCTTTGATGCTTCCCGAGGACGACGTTCTTGAATCGCCCCCGTCGTCACAAACCCTAGTCCTCCGGTTTCCAATCTCCGAATCGAGGGAGTTCTTTTTTTTTTATTTTCTATTTTTATCCAAATTAGAGACCGGGAAGGAGGAATTTCGGCGTTCGGGGCAAAAGGGTCGATCGATTCCGCTTGATCGTCCCCGAATCTCATCTTGTTCGACGGAAAGGTGAGATTTTTGTGTTTCTGGCTTCAAGAGGTGAGCAGGGGAAAAGATCGATGAAGTGGGGTCATTCTCAGCTCAAGACAGGCGAACAGAAGATTTCATTTGCATTGAGAATCTCCCCGAAGTTCTTGTTGTAGTTGTTTGTGCTGGTGTTGTTTCATGGAGTCGTTGTTATCAGCTCATTTTGTTGTGATTCTGGTGTCTGTATTTGCAATCTGGGCCATTGTAGTTGAGTCTCAATCCCAGAATGCACCCGACGCTCAACTGTCACCTCCACCTTTGATCCCTCCCCCACCTCCTCCTCCGCTGCCGCCCCCGCCGCCTCCTCCTCCTCCTCCGCCCCCACCGCCTCCTCCGCCGTCTCCATCCCCACCGCCACCGTCGACACCACCGCCGCCGCCGCCGTCTCCATTAACTCCCCCCCCTCCGTCGACTTCGCCACCAGACACTCTGCCGTCGCCCCACTTTTTAGGAAATAACAACAGCACAAAGAGATCGTCGCATCCGTCAGATAATCGGTGGCATGGTGCAAATAATAACAGAAGCAGGAGGCCCCCGCCACGGGGTGAAGACAAGATCAATACAGGCAAGAAGCTGGGGTTGTTATTTATTGGCATAGCTTCGGTTTTGCAGATTTTCGTCGCGGGGTTTTTGATATTTAAGAGAAAGCAGCTGATGAAAATTAAGGTTAGATATGAAACATGTCCATGAGAGTTCGACATTGGTTCAATTGAAGTACAAGGGTGGAGATGTGGTTCATTGATGAGATTGTTTTGTTGGAGGACTAACAGGAGGAGTTCATTTGTGAATGGCCAGAGGAACCATTGAGACGAGAGGTTGTTGATAGATAGCAATTGCAAATTGACTGTAGCATACATCGATCATCAGAGACCTTGATTTTTATTTTTTATGTATCTGTAATTGGTGATTGCCGCTTTCTTATCCTTTGTCTCAATATCTTCATTCTTCACATATGATCTTCTACCATTTTCTCCTTGCGTGCATTATGTATTGACAGAGAGTTGAAGATTTGTTGCTGGCCCTGATAGTCAGTGCTTGTTTTCGTAACTCTGAATACCATCAGAGCTGGTATCATTTGCATGGGCAAGCTAGGAAATTTATGGATAGGATGAGAATTTTGTTGGGCTACAGAGGTAAGAGAAATAACATTACATTCCCATTCCCAATGATGTTATTGCTATCTATTGACCCTAATGGAGCTGTTTCTTCTCATTTACTCATCGTCTGAGATTCAATTGTGGAGTTGTGGTCGACAATTTAACAAGAGAAATTAGCTGGTCAGCAAGATTATTTTGCGCTGGATGTCATTGCTGATATGAATCTCCATCCTTAATTCGAATAATATTGCCTTCTGAGTTACCATCCTAGTTGCTCATGAAACTTATGCTAGGTATTGTCACTTAGCTAGCCTCATCTAGAAAACTGTTGAATAGAATGAAACTTAGAAGCGATAGGTCCGCCGTAGTAGGACTGTGGTAGAAATACAGCCTTTGCACTTTTGCAGAAGTTCAATCGTGAGATTTGTTTCTGAAATTCAAATGATGCAGTTTCTTTTCATTATTAGCTGTCAACTATACAGGATTTGTCCATATTTCTGAGCACAACTTCGGTTTATTATAAGCCGTTAGAGGAAATCCTTCGTCATTGAATTTAAATGCACTCTTCTGAGCCATTCCAAACTGCTTCATTGTCATTTCTGGGTAATTTCCTACAGCACTCCATTCTTGGTGGAATATCTTATAATTGACTGCTTAAAGATCTCTCTATTTGTGTGCGCGTGTGTGCTGGGCGGGGTGTGCGTGTGTGCTTATGCGAGGAATTTGTTGTGTGGCAAGATTACTGTATCGACTGTATCAGCAGCATTCTTTTCTGTCCTATCTATTTCCCCTTCACCCGTCATTGTGCTTCAGATGTGTTGCTGAGTTGAGACACTTTCTGTGTAGACTCCCAACAGAAACAGTGTTTAAGCACCGCCCTGTTTTGTGGCTATCAATATGTTTTGAAGATGTCAATGGATTTGTTTCAGTCTCCCAGCCAGTCACGTGGTTAACTGCGTTTTTCTTTTTGGTCGGGAAGCGAAGCGTAGTCATCCATTAGATTTTGTGTTCTTAGTAAGCGGTCGAATATGGTTGGTGTGACATGAATGCACATGTTGCTGACTTTGGTTACCAGCTGTGTGTTTGCTGAATCGGGAAGTGATGAGTTTGATTATGGTTAGCATCGAAAGGGACTTTCAAAAAAAAAAAAAAATACTGGGTTTGTTCTGGACTCGACTGTGAATGCTTCAAGTTCAATCTTCAGTGAGGGTGTGACCAGGATATGCAGTTGCTGTTCGTATTCTATCATTGAATTGGTCGATTGTTTAATGAAGTATGTCGCTGGGTTGACCTGAGAAGTTGCAGCCTTTTAGGTCATGTTTGCGTTGTAAAGGTGTTAACTTTTTCCATCACATCTTGGCTTGGACGCTGGCTTCAAGAAAAGAAATAATAACAAATAGATATTAAATCAAGCCACAGACTGTTCTTATGGGGACGGATTTATCTTATGGCTGTCTTCCGTGTCCAGGACCTAACTCTCTTGGCGTTTTCTATTTGGTCTCCAAAACAATTCCTAAATGGATGAACACGTCTTGAGAACTTGTTTACCAAGTCAAACTAAATACTTACGCGTGAAGCGGCATTGCCGGCTTGATTATCTGGGGGCAGTATCAAGTTTCCTTATAGAAAACAACTGGTAAATTTGTTAGACCTTAGTACAAAAAACTGCAAGGAGAAACAGGGGATAGAATAAATAAATTGAATTCGTTATCGTTAAGTCTATCGGTCTTTTCTAATGATGACACTTCCTTTCTCACTCGAGCTTAACTTGACTTGAACTCGATAGAGCTCTATTTGAGATCGACTTGACTCGGTTTTCGAGCTACCTGAATTTGCCTCTAACTCTGAGAAGAATTGAGCACAGCTCAAGTATTCATTGACTCCAGTTCCAGCATCTCTTGAATATGTGCTCAAGTATTCATTGACTCCAGTTCCAGCATCTCATGAATAGCTCGACTCGTGTGCATCTTTTTGGGAATGGATGATGAGTTTCAGGGCGATGGTGATGTGACATGCAACAATGTATTTGTCGAAATTATGAATTGCTTGTCTTTGGGGAGATGTGCATTAATTACTATCGGAGGTGCAAGGAATAGGAACGCTTACTTCCTAAGTGATTACTTGGGTACGTCATGTGGAATTAAATTCCATACATTACCGTCCCATTATTTTACTCCTATTCTTGATCACATTAAATAGGAATACCAACCAAAGAGCCAGCTATGGGGGAGATTCTGTAAATCCATAGTAATACAAGGTTCTAATAGAATCTGTTGCTACACCCACCAAATCATGAGCATAGAATGGATAGAGGAGTTTTAGGCCCCGTTTGGTTCAGCATTTGGAATGTTTATTTGGACTTTAAAGTCCCTTGGCCAAATGCAAATGGTGTTTGGTAATTTTTTTTACTTACTTTGGGGAGATGCAATTGCATTTGAAATGCTCCCCAAGGGACCTTTGGCCAATGCTCCACCGGAGGTGCTTTGGGAAGTTGCATATTTTGAATGCAACTTGCACTGTTCATCGACACTGTTCATCTTCCCCAAACCGAGGTCCGGCGGCCTGCGACTGCCGCCTAACGGCTATCTCGACCCCGGCGACCACCGCCTGGGTCGCGCAACCCAGGCGACCACCGCCTGGGTCGCGCAACCCAGGAGACCGCCCGAGGCCCGGCGACCCCAGGCGGTGGTCACCGTGGTCGCCTGAGGGTCGCGCGACCCCGGCAACGCTTGGTCTGGGTCGCGCGACCCAGGCGACCGCCTCAGGCCCGGTGACCCCAGGCGGCGGTCACCGGGGTCGCGCGACGCCCGAGGTCGCATGACCCCAGGCGGCGGTCGCCGGGGTTGCACAACCCCCAGGCGATCGCCGCTTGAGGTTGCACGACCCCAGCAACGCTGCCTGGGGTCGCCGGACCTTAGGCATCGCCTGGGTTGCGCGACTCAGGCGACGGTCACCGGGGTCGCGAGACCCCCAGCCGACCGCCGCCGGAGGTCGCGTGACCTCAGGCCGCCTCGCCTGAGGTTAGGCGAGGCTGGCCGGCGACTAGATCTGGCCGGTGGTGGTCGGTCGCCAACTTTTTTTTTTATTTAAATATCAGCAAAAGCCTTTTTACAAATAATTTTTACCAAACCGTATTTAGGGTAAAGTTATTTTCAAATGTGATTTTAAAATACACATCACCAAACATTACTTGCATTTCGGAAAACCCTTTTAGTTCAAAGGTCTTTGCATTTTGCCAAATACATTTCCCAAAAGCTGAACCAAATAGGCCCTTAGTTATTAGACTCAAAGATGGCTTGTGCTTAGTCGAAGTTTTAGGTATCCTACACCCAGTTTGTGGAACCGGCCCACCTTGGAACCGATTGCTCCTACCCATAATGGGTGAGGGCCCTTTCCAACACGTTAGAAATCACTATGGAAGAAAATATCCCTTTCAGCACTCTACTCCATAGAACATTTGGGGCTTTGAGTCTCCCAAGCTTGTTTATCCAGGATAACTCTGTTGAAAGCTAGGAGATCCTTAAACCCCATGCCTCCTTGTCTTTCCTTTGTTTCAATAACTCCCATTTTTTTACAATGAAAGCCAGCTTTGGATGCATTTGTTTTCCACCAAACAGATGCTATCTTTTGCTTAATGGCTCTACAAATGGACATTTGAATTTTGAAAATTGACATCACACATAATAGTAAAGCCTGCACCCCTGCAACACAGCTTTGATTAGAATTTCCTTTACCGCCTTGGAAATAAACTTTTCTTTCCGGCCTTCAAGCTTCATGTTCATCGACGCCATGATCCAAATGAACATTTTCTTTTTATAATGGCCCGTCTGATGGAATCCCCAAGTACTTCCCTATTTTATCAATTTATGGCACTCTCGTTTCCTGAGCCATGTTCTTTCTCAAAGGTTGTGGACATCTGGTACCGCGGTAGAATCCTGACTTATTCAAATTGACCACCTGACTTGTGGCGAAACAATATTGATGTTGGAAAGCTGGTAAATTCTAACGGTCCCTAATCTTCCCGTCAAGAACAAGAGAGTCACTGCAAACTCTATAAGTGTTAATGTAGGGCAAAGACTGTTTAATTTGATACCTTCAAAACTACCATTTACAACTGCTTTATGCATAAGGAAGGACAGTACATTGGCCACAATTATGAACAAGTATGGGGATAATGGATCCTCTTGACGAACTCCTCTTAAAAGGTTTGAAGTAGGAAAGAGGTTCCTTGTTGAACTTAATATTAAGAGAGATTGAGGTAACACGCTGTATGGCCCATGAAACCCATATCTCACCGAGTCCCATTTTTAACATACATGCTTTTAGAAAATCCCATTCCACTCTATCATAGAACTTTTCTATATCCAATTTTAGAATAGCCTGAAATTTCTTCTTTCTCTTCTAGACTTTGAGTTGGTGAGTACCTGTTGAACGATACCTAGGAAATAATTTTGTAACTAAAGTTGCACAGGTTAATGGGTTGAAACTGGTCTAACTTCTCTAGATTAGGGATTTTTGGGATAAGGGTAATACGGTTAAATTAAGGGTCAAGAATGCCAGTGTTAAGGAAAGATCTCACCATATTGAAGACGTCATGCTGAATGATTTCCCAATGATCATGATAGAATTGTCCACTAAGACCATCCAGTCCTAGCGCTTTTAGGGCTCCCAATTGGAAAGTTGCATCCTGTACCTCCTACATTTTCACATTTTCTACCATGCTTTGATTCATACGGTGCAAGATCAAGCTGGGGCATTGATCTAATACTGGCCGAAAGTCCTTGGAACCCACTGAGCTGTATAATGACATCAAGAAGTCCCCCGTGATCTGCTTCAATCGTGTAGGGTCTTGAATCCACTTCTCTGCGATAGATTTCAACATAGAGATCTTGTTTCACTGGAGCCTTTGAATTGTGGTTGCATGGAAAAACAATATTTTTATCACACCATTTCCGCCAGTTTATTCTAGAGCGCATACCCCAGTACATTTCTTCTTGTTTCTGCATATCTTCGATTTGATTGTTCAGTTGCTGTACTCTATCCCTGTTACGATGCAAAGTCTGCTCATTTATGATCTTCTAGAGCTCCCTTTTCAGGGAATTGGTTTGGCTCTGGGCATTGGAGAGCTTTTCCTTGCTCCACTTCTTTAGGGCCTCTGTTAACTTCTGTAATTTCTTCAACAAATGCTCATTTACCATTCTGGGAGTGCTCCACACCGAACTTACAAGTTTGCAACAATCTTCATTTTCAAGCCAGTATACCTTAAATTTGAATGATCTCTTCCTTTTTACTGGTTCAAGTAGTTTAATTTCAAAGTCCTTTTTTCTAATTCCCGTTCATCTGTATTTTATTCTCGACATATATCTACGTTTTAATGTGAAGTACAAGAAACTTGACCAAACCATATTTCAGGAAGTAAAGTTAAGAAGAGTTCGAGTATTAATTGCGATGATCTTAAGGCCCAACCATAATATATAGAAACTAATGCCAATGGCTAGGGTTGCAAAGAACAATTTAATCTACCTTATAATGGCGACAAACATGTAAGTAGGTATTTAAACAAATGAGTCATGTTACAAGTATTCAAGAGAAATCTTTGACAAAAATAGAAACGGTAAGTACCCAATATAGGCCGACTGCACGTCTGTAATTTTGTATACACTATTTGCATCTTCTACTTTTTGTACATGAATATGCCATTCGCGATGCAAAAATTGCCACGTATGTCTGTGAAGTACAATCGGTAAGGTTTGATCAAGACGAGGTCCACATTACCGATGACATGTCATTTATAGGATGACCGAAACACCACTTAGAAAATGAGGGATTGTGTATGATCACGTAACTTTGTGGCAAAAGAAAGTAGATCGTGTAACTTATTTTTAACCCAACCGAGTTAAACTGAACGTGTGAATTTGCTTTTAGCGGCAAGATGATAAAGACAAAGCACGATGGGCCTCAGTCGGACCCATGTAGTACAAGCAATCGCTGGGACTACCAGTACCAGATGACTATTGTGCATCATGTTCGATCATACATGGTGCAAATAATGCTCTGCGTTCTGGGTTTTGTTGGGCCCATGTATGATGTCCAAAAGAGAACCAGCAGGAGCAAAAAGTAGGTGGTGCTTTGATTACAGAAAGTGGACAAGTCCCTCATGGAGCATATTCAAATGTTGCTTCCAGTCAAGAAACAAGCCTTGCAAATCTGAGACATGTTTGCTCACAGGGGAAAGAGAAAGTGCAATGAAAGCAAAATAAATATAAAAGTGAGAACAAAACTTCAAATCCTCCTTCTGCTATGGGACCCTACCTCTTTTCAGCAGGAATTGAATTCATCACCTACTGTTGCGTTCCTCCGTTCCATGTCACCCCCGTCAGTGAGACTAGAGCAACTTGCACAGAAGATCATTCATTTCCCAAAGAAGTGGTGTAATGGCTTGTGGGGTTGGTCTTCCTTCTCTGGCTTGATTGGCTCAGCTGATTTGTAATCAGGACCCAGAACAAAGGAGTGACTTTCTCTGTGGTCCTGTGGCTGTGAAGAGAATTGGATCGGCCCCTGATACGGATCATGAGCTTGAGAGTAATTTGTTTCTGCACCTGAAGCCTCTGGGAAGAAAGATCTCTCATAGTCCACTTCACTGAGCTTCCCATGCATATAATACCTATTTGCAAGACGGGTAATATTCATCGAACAGCAGTTAGAGAAATGATGTCAAAAGAAAAAAAAAATTGATCTTTTTTCCACGAACCATTCGGTTTTCAACGGGAGTCTGACAGTTTTGCAAAAGCATTCGAAAATGACATGAATTTATGATAATTCAATATCTTTAGAACGCTCAATCAAACTTCATATATTTTGCAGAGATTCGAACTGACAGGAACTCACGACTTTTGAGTTTTGACAATTGAGCACGAACCGACAAGGCCTACCTGCCATCTTTATGACTCTGAGAGTATGACCCAGGATTCAGCACATAGTTGTGCTGAAGGTGGTGGCTGCTTGCTTCATATGGATGAGGGAATGGAACAGCATCTGGAGGAGGCCTAGTGGAGGAGGAGGAAGAAGAAGAAGTAGTCAGGAAGGGATGGAGTGTTGGGTGGTGGTGTTCATGTTCACCGCTAGCTGAGACAACGCATGAAGAAGTTGGTGGACAAGCGGTGGCGCCGATCGACAAGGCTGGCGGCGGTTGCTGTGGTTCCACATGCTTTCTTGAACGGTGCTTGCCTCGGTGCATGTGCTTCTCACAGTACTTGGAGTCAGGGTAGGCCTCCTTGGAGCACCTCCATTTCTTACCATCTGTTCTTCTGCACCTCCCTGGCTCAGGGTCTGCTTTCCTGCCATAACCCACCTGGAACTCACCCCATCCACCCACTAACCCAAAAAAATGAAAAAAAGGATCTCACTTTTTTTCTTTTCTTCATCAAGAACATATAGAATAATACATTTGTTTTGCTTTTGGACATGGATAGAGCTTACTTTGATGAGGAGGGAATGGGCCAAAGGAGAGTGAGGAGGAGTTGGAGTCCAAGCTCCTTCTAACACTGAAGATGAGCTCAGGTGGGACTTGGAGTCCTGACACCATGTATTTGTAGACAAGGGCTTGTGTCTCTAGCTCTTGCCACTGTGCCTCTGTGAATGGATAATACCTGCTCATCATTCTTCCGCTCCCGCTCATCCTCTCAGGGCTCAGCCGACCAAAAATCCTCAGCAACGCACAAACAGAGAGGACTCTTTTTTTTTTCTTATCCCCTTCTTGGGATTGACCACTTCGATAGGAGTACTGACTAAATGCTAATCAGTCATTGCTGGTCAGTATTGTTTGTACAAACTTATGCATGGATCATGGAAAGAGAGACTCATGATATGTGTTATATGCTGTGTTCTCTCTCTCTCTCTCTCTCTCTCTCTCTCAACCTCTGAATTCTTGGTGGGTCCTGTTATTTTCTGCTACTTCTGCCATTTCTTTGCCTCCTCTGTCACTGCTATTTTTTGGCTCTCTGATATATTAATTTTACAGGACATATGAACCAGTGCTTGCTAGCGAGGACACGAGAAAGGGGCAAAAGAAATTAGAGGTCGAGAGGAGGGCTAAGTGTGTATTTCTCCTGTACTGTTTCCACATCATGGTCCTTGAAGTGGGTGCCTGGCCCCTCGTGGATGATGACATTTTTTTTTCTGTTAGGGTTTAAATTGAGAAAAAAAATTTCTTACCCAAAAAAATTAATGTGAATCCAAACAACTTATTGCCACCCAAGGTTATTCTTTAGTTTTAAACTCTCTCTCTCTTCCTTAGTAGCTAGCTAGGTCCATTTAATTATTGGGATGTGGGTCGTATTTATGATTAGATAGAGAAATATTTCTCTTTGTGATCAAAGAAAGTTTCACGGAATAGAATGGTAGTATATTCGATAATCTGACATCCTGTTTCGCCGAAAAATATTGACCAAAAACCTTTTGAAACATAAATTGATATGAAAATTGACGAAGAATGTAAATGGTCCTTTACTGATTCTTGAACAAGAAATATAACTGACAAGAAAATTAAAATTATGAAATCTAGATAAAATCGTATTCGACTGGAAGTAAAAATGAACAGTTGATGTACATTAATTGATTAGCGGTACCTTGCACGAATAACGAGTCTAATATTTGTTACTACTGCCTATAATCAATGGCAAGGAAAACGACCGCATCAATTCACGAACTTGTATCTACCTACAACTGCTCAACACCTACTACTTCAACGGTTGTTCTCTCTCCGCTCTTCACATGCAATATCATCGGTTATTTTGAATCCCTTATTCTCCTTTACTTGATAGTTGCCATAATCCACATTTCTCAGCCGCTATCATTAGTGGCTTCTGAGATATAAGGCATCCACTACTTGACGGTTGTGTCAATTTCACTTCATAGCTATGTCGATGAGCCTAACCAAATTGTGTCCGAGATTATCGGCTCCATCACTTAGATAGCTACTTTGCATCTAGCTCATCGTGAGTTGTGTTAGTCGTGACCCTTTGTTGATTAAACTGACCTTCATTTATCGATGCCTACGCTCCAAGACATAGTTATTCCTTGTCGCATCTTCTGTCTGCTAAGGCCAATTACTTTGTCCACTAACTATACTTACCAACCGAAAGCCTTCAACACTAGGAAAGTTTTATATTTATTGCATTTCACTCGGTCTTTTTCAGCCCAAGTCGATAGGAAAAAATTTGGGCATTTTTTGGTGTTAATACATACTAAACAGTTAGTTCCTGTTGACACCTAAATTTTGGCGTATCATTTAGTCGTAATTTGTATAGAAAATTAGGGATTAAATTTTTAACCCCTAAACAAAAATATTTAGGTTGCATAACATATAGTTTAAATTCATTTTAAATTAATTGCATTTTGCATCGGACCGGCGGTGACGAACGAGCTTAAAATTTCATCGAACAAGACTCGGCTCGCTTGGAATGCAGGGCGGGAATTACAAGTCAAACGGGCTCGGTTGTTTTAATTTGAGCTTAATTCAGCCCATTATCCTTAATTAATTCAGCCCATTTAAATTAAATTAAAATCTAAGCCCAAGCCTAAGCCCATTAGGACTAGAGAGCCCATCTAATTGACCTAGATTAGTGTTATATATACATCATTAGATCAGGATTTTAGGGGGCTCTCACAATTTTCAGAACACGATTTTTTAGAGCACGAGAAACACACAATTCATAACACACCCGACGACAATACAGAGAGCATCGGCCAGCATTAGATAGAAAAGAGAGCAGCACACGCAGGGGTGAGTGCGCCCACCTGCAGATCTCCAATGCTTGCACTCACGACTGGATGAGGAAGAAGACAAAGCTACCACTCCCACGGCAATCATCAAGGAGTCCAGCAAAGTTCATCAAGCGTCGTCGAGAAGTAGCTGTGAACGGAGAAAGGCAAGAATTGATTCCCCAAGCTTGACCAACATTCAACGCACGATGGGGAGAACCGAGAACAGGGAGTAAAAAATTGCCGATTGCTTTGCCTTGTGCATCTCAGAGAAGCTTTGCAGACCCTTAGCCGTGTTCAGTCAACCCCCACGAATTCATCCATGGTCGAGAACCGTGAACCATCACAAGCACCACCGCAAACAGCGCCCCCGCCAAGTTGCTGTTCAGCCGGTCATCGCCCCCGCCGTCTTCGACGCCCGGACGCCACCGTAGAGCTGCCGCGCCTACGCCGCGTCGCCCGTCGTCCGAGTCCGATCCCGATCCACAATTCGAATTTGGAAGTTATCTGCAAATTAGGTAATTGGCATTATCCGATATTTTCAGAATATTTAATTTCCTAATATGAGTGTTTGAATATTTCGTGAATATCATGTGGATATTTAGAAATCTTAGGATAATGTTCGATATATCCAATATTTTTAAATATTCAAAATTAGGAAAACTTTCTAATTTAGCAACGTATACGGGCGACTATCCGGCCTTATCCCTAGGTTCGATACGCGGCGATACGGAAAATTATTATCCTATCCATAACCACTTGGGTACGATAATGATTTTTATCCGCTTTCCAAATTTGAATAATCGGCTTTCAGTCGATATCTATAACCCTATAGATATGACCGATAGTTTGATTTTTGTGCCTAATCCGAGTTTGAAACAAATATGGCGGATCACGTGGACGTTTTGAATGTGGTTGCTATCCTTATTTATTTAATTGCTTTCCTTTTTCAAATAAACAGAAAATTCAAAAATATTAATTAGATTTGAATTAGAGTTTTTGCATGTCTAGGAATCCTAAATGTATCTAGAAGATAGAGTAGTTATGTAATTTAAATTAGGACTTGAGATGATCTATTTCCTAGTTTAAATTAAGTAATATTCTAATCTTAATAGATTATTCGGGTTATTCATTATTTCGAATTTTAACAAAAATCCTAAAAAGAAATCATGCTAGGGTAGATTAAGTCATCATAGTTTGCATGTTAATTTAGGCATTTTTATTATTCCGAATTTAAATTGAGAAAATACCAAAAATAATCATTCGTCTGTCATTAGAAATAGGTCACGTCGTCGCACGACATATAGTTTGCATGCTAGGTTGCATTAATCGCATGTCATTTCCGCATGTCATTGCATATAGGCTAGATTTCATTTAAATAAGTGAAAATCCAAAAAAGAAATTGAGTGAATTGCTTGTTAATTAGAAATCATATTAGGGTGTCAATGTGATTTTCTAGCTAACAATGCGATGCTTACGTTGCTTCCAGGTAAGTAATTCTTCCAAACTTGCAATTTATTTAATACTTTCGGGTGTTAAATTGGTGGTTTGCGCACTCGCATGATCACCTCACATGCTAGTGACTAAGTTAAAATGAATCCAAATGCACGCAAAACATTTTTTTGAAAGAAAAGGTACCGAAAGGGCGTTAGACCGGATCTAGCGTAATCAAGTCCCGGGCTTAGAATCTGGTTCGTAGGAATAAAACATATCTCCTATGTTTTATTTGGGTTTCTAATCAACCTACCATAAATAGATTAGTGTCGACTCCAAGCATAAAAACTTTTGCATGTTAAAAACTTAAACCCTAAGTTGCGAATTGGTAGGGCTTGGGAGGGCCCGAGTTAGGCTTAGTCTTAACAATCCATTAGCCTGAGAGAAATTTTAGGTCGCGACAGCTCCTCATTTAGATCTATACTTTCGCCAATGGTGGCTGGAATGTATATCTTAACGTGTTTCCTTGTTGGCGTTTCATGTAATAATATTACTTATCCAGTGTATCCAATATATTCATCTATATTTTTTTGACGATGAGCTGCTAATATTATGGAACGTGTTAAGAGTACTTGTTAAGTATGCTTAGTCGAGGATGAATTAATTACACTTACAATAAGAAAACGTAAACACCTTGAAAATTAATGCTTTCCGCATTAATTTGAGCATGGCAAAATTGGCCTAATTTAAAAGAAAAAGTATCAACTTTACCTTGAATGACAATTCTGGCCTGAAATTTTTTTAATCTCATAAAAAATCACAAACTTTCACTTAAATCCCAAATCTGGTCTAAGCAATTTGAAAATTTCATATTATGAGGGCCAGACTTGGAATTAGAGTAAAATTTGATGCTTTTTATTGAAACAAAAAAAAAATTCAGTCTAGAATTGTCACCCATGGTAAAGTCGATACTTTTTTTTGGAATTAGCTCCGTCAAAATTATACATTTTTGGAAATGAGATGCTAGGAGAGTTCAAGTAAAAGATATATAGAAATGTTTACTTTTCTGTTTGTTTGCAAGTGAAAGCACTTTTTCTTGAAAGTAGAAGGTGCCAAAAGAGGTGAAATATGAGATAACAACTTAGTCAATTTGTTTTTCTTTGTTATGACTAGAAATGGTAGAATGGCCACTTTAATATGTAAAAAATATCGTTTAGGACTGAATTGACCAAACTGCAATAGGTTTAGGACTTTTCAAATAATTTTTCCTTTCTAAAACTCATCATATAATTAAGCATCAATTAAGAGCTCATGTGTGTGAAGAAGGAAAGAGAGTAATACCACATTTTATACTGGCATGCAATTCACAAAATCATTTAAGTACACCTCCCATTGAATCAAATCGATTACTCTTTAAAAAGTAATATGAACTCTGCTTGTAATCATCCGGAATATAACAATGACTCTATATAACTTACATTATGGTTAGTTCTGTGAGACATGGATAGTAAAACCAATGAATTCAGTTTTGCAAAAGGTGCATGTTTGGGTGCGTGAGACAAAGAATCTCGAAGACGAAGACCATTAATTTAACGAGATTTCACAACATGAACAAGCACTCGAATTTCCTAGCTCAGAAATCAGCAATTTGATTTAGAAAAGTTATGTGAGTTTAAAGGCTTTATATGCAACTAAAATGGGCAAAGATTTCGTTTAGAAAAATGCTTAACCCAGGGTTAGTGCAATTGGCTGGAGCATCGAGAGATTTCTAGCTCAGAAACCGGAGGTCATCAGATCGAATGTCACAAATTGTGTGCAAATTGCTTTGGATCGGGGCCACTAGTTACATGTAAAAGGTATAAACTTAATCGGTTGACAAGACTCGTACGGTGTTCTTCGAGCCGTTAGATAGTCGGGTCTCTGCGTTCGTGGCTCTGGATAATAAAAAAAGTAACTAATGCTTTCTCCTCACTTCATGCTTCTACGTTGCATAAACTAAGTCCAGATAAGAAATCATTTTTCTTCCCCGTGTTGCATAATTCAAATTTTTTCCTAAGAATTTTGGTTCTATGAGTTCGAGTTTCACACCCTTCGGCGAACCCTTTAAAGCCCGCATGGACATGTGATAGCCCATGTTACCAGGCTAATTTTGGGCGGGCCAACGCCAACGGCCCACCTAATTGTCTGATGTCCATCTGAAATGACATTGCCGGCTTTGTTTTGCGAAGAATTTCTGCAGTCTAATAAGCCCCTTATTCATTAAATTTTTTAGTAGGATAATTACACAAATGATTCTTGAACTTTGGCCCAATGTGCAATGTCGTCCATAAACTTTTAATTTGTTCAATGCAGTCGTTGAACTTTAGTCCAATGTTTAATGTCGTCCCTGAACTTTTAATATGTTCAACGCGGTCTCTAAACTTTTTGTACATGTTCATTCTAATCCTTAAACTATATGAAAATGTTCAATGTTGTTTCTGAGCTTGAATTAATGGAAGGACAACACTCACACAGTTTATGGAATTAATTGAATATGTTCCAAAAGTTCAAGGACCACATTGAACAAATTAAAAGTTTAGAGATGATATTGCAAATTGAACTAAAGCTCATGGACCACGTTAAATAAACTAAAAGTTTAAGGACAACATTACATATTGGATTACACCAAAAAAAAAAAACATTACATATTGGACAAAGTTAAAGACCATTTGTATTAGTTTCCCTTTTATCATCAATCACCAATCCTCTAACAAGCCGAAAATGAACAATACTTAGCTAAGCTGAAGGCTTAATAGTGTGCTCGATCAAATGTACCTAGTGGTAGTAGTCCTAATTAATGGGAAAAGTGCTGAATAAGTCCTAAACCTTTTGAGGTGGTGCCATTTTAGTCCTAAACCTTTTGATATAGTGTCAATTCAGTCCTTTTGACCGGATTTTGCTGACGTGGACGTCGGCCGGCCAACGGCCCAGTTACCGTGAGCGTGGACAAAATTTAATAATATTTTAATATTTTTTGAATTTTTTTTTTTTTTTTTTTCTTCTCCCTCTTCCTTCAGCCGGTCGCCGAAGCGGCGAGGTCGACCTCGCTGGCCTCGGGCCAGCCTCGCCAGATCCGGCGAGGTCGAGCCTCGCTCAGCCATGGCGAGGCTCGCCTTCGCCGTCGCCGGCGAGGGCGAGCCTCATCTGGCTGGTGAGGTGAGGCTCGCCATCGGGCGGTCCCTCGCCATGGCGGGCGGGTCGACCTCGCCCGAGATCCGGCGAGGCCGGGCCTCGCCGGATACGAGCGAGGTAGATGGCCTGCCGCGCCGGCCTCGGCCTCCGGCCCGGTCGCCGCTCCGGCGAGAGGCCAGAATTTGGAAGAGGGAGAAGAAAAAAAAAAGAAAAAAAAGAAAAAAATATTAAAATATTATTAAATTTTATCCACGTGAGCGCCGGTGACCGGCCGACGTCCACGTCAGCAAAATCCGATCAAAAGGACTAAATTGGCACTATATCAAAAGGTTTAGGACTTAATTGGCACAAAAAATAGGTTTAGAACTAAATAGGCACCACCCTAAAAGGTTTAGGACTTATTCAGCACTTTTCCCCCTAATTAATAAAAGCCTGACGCCCTTTTGAATAGAACAATGCTCCACCGATTATTTCGACCACCTATAGTCACATATGAAATTTTCATGATCTATTCAAGTATACACTAGCACACCTAAATCAAACTTCTTATTTTGTCCGACAATGCGGATCAGCGTAAAGAATCGCATTAGGCATCTACGTCCAACACATTTCTTAGGTTGGGCAAGAGGAAATGCGGACCGAGATATATAGGGCCGGCATAAGCCCATGACCGTCTATTGGGTTCGGGCGTGGGGAGAGAGAGAGAGAGAGAGTATCCTGTAAAATCTGGTTTTTTGGATATGGCTTGGGAGGGCAATTGGGAATGAATGGGTTGATTCTAGACCATACATCAATTCCACGGTTCACGTTAAGGAATGACAACCAAGAGATGCTTCCAACGATAGTTACACTGCGGAGAGGGGCTCCTCTCCTCTCGTTTACTTGATTAGAGCTGGCAAAATGTCTTCTTGTTTTGAGCTCCATGCGTTCCCTCTTCACGTGCCTACACTGGACCACCCATGCAATCCCCCTTCCAGTTCTTTGTTCATGTGCTTCAGCGGCACTCGTTATCCTATCATTCCATGTCTTTTTCTCATGATTTATTTTATCTCTCTTTCCCCAGAAAATATTAGCAATGAAAGGTCCAACTTATTCTGTGCTTTAACCCAGATAGTTAGCAATTGATTGACTACGATATATTCCGATCCTTTTCTACTCCTAACTAACAAAGAAACACAAAAAATGTGAGACAGGTTCAAACACTTGCAGAACTCGATATGCCCAACTCAAAAGTGTTGAGCAATCAGACGTTTCCGACTCATTGATCGGAGATATTAGCAAATGAACGCCAACGTAGACACATGCCCTCTTTCTTTTGTTAATCTCTAGCCACAGTGGTTCTCTTCTTTCCATGTATACGTCTCATTTATTTTCATTCATGCTATGATCAACATCAGATGAGGGAAGGCATAAGGTCCTAAATGGAGTGCCATTTCAGCAGAGATATCCAATGAGACCCACCAAAATGATTATCCTTTAGTTTCGTGCCTTTTCCTGGTTTGACATGAGAGGGGACTTTCGAGAATCAATTGGCTCTTCCATGCACTGAAATCCCTAACTACCAAAAGAGCCTTCCTGTTTTTGTCCTGCAGCTACAATGGACCACCAATCTCTCCAACGTGGTATAGGCTTCAGCATTTCGATTTCTCTCTTTTTTTTTTTGTTTGGGTTCAATGAAGATACCCCGGCTCTTCACAGCCCATAAAACTTGTGGCTCTCTTGCAGTGCAGAATAATCACTATATCCTGCGTGATCAAGTCTTCTCAGTTCAACTTGTATCCTATTCGTGCACGACTCCTATATAAACCTTATGTGACTTAGTTACTACATACCATATCTTGGGACCTGAAGGCAAAGAAAAAGCACAAACCAAAATGCTTCACATTCTCTTCTTCTTCTCCCTTCTCTTCTCCTCTTCTCATGCCTCTGTCCAGGACTTCTGTGTTGCGAACCTCAAAGGGCCAGACACCCCGGCGGGCTTCACTTGCAAGAGCCCTAAAAAGGTCACTGTCGATGACTTTGTTTTATCAGCACTAGGAATAGCTGGTAACACCACCAACATCATCAAAGCAGCCGTGACCCCTGCATTCGTTAGCCAGTTACCGGGCCTCAATGGGCTCGGCCTCTCAGCAGCCCGATTGGACCTGGCGCCGGCCGGCGTCATCCCATTGCACACCCACCCGGGCGCATCGGAGCTCCTGTTTGTGATTCGGGGGAAAATATTGGCAGGGTTCATTTCTTCAGCCAATGCTGTTTATTTGAAGACCCTGAAGAGAGGTGACATTATGGTTTTCCCACAGGGGTTGCTTCATTTCCAAGTGAATGCAGGTGGGTCCACGTCCATCGCTGTGGTCAGCTTCAGCAGTGCAAATCCTGGCCTCCAAATCCTCGATTTTGCATTGTTTGCCAACAACTTGCCATCTCCGTTGGTGGAGAAGACCACTTTCCTGGATGATGCTCAAGTGAAGAAGCTCAAGGCTGTGCTCGGTGGAACCGGCTAAACAAAGCCAAGCTCAGCTACAGATTGTTTTCTAGTGTGATGATATTTGTTGTTGTGGATGTGTTTTCTTGTTGTTGCTAATGTGGAAGCCATTTCTTCATGTTTAATAATGCAATTGAAACATTGTTCTAGCTTTGTTTTCCCTGGAAAAATGTTTGTCGATGCTGTACCTTGTCAATTGTATGCACAAAGGAACTGAACCAGCTCAACTAGTAGCTCAATTCAGCTGAGGTTTTGATCCATTTTAGTTGTTTCAAAATATTCTGATCCTATGGTGATTCCACCAAGCAAACTAGCAGTTCAAGCAGTCATTCTGTTGAGCTCCTATATTTCTGGTAGCTGAACAGAGAAAAGAGTCATTGCAGCATATGGCATAAAAAAAGAGAAAAAATATTGCGTAAAATGGTAGAGATCTGCTAGCCTCGGGTGCACAGACCATTTTCACTTCCATGGTGACCAGGTCTCTACTTAGGCATGCAGACAGAGTAGGGCATATCTTAATGAGAAAGGACTTCTTAGGCTCTCCTGGGTATTTACGCAGAATCTCAAATTGCTCATACAAATTAAGATGCATCATAAGGAACGAAATGTAAGCTGTCAACTCACCTCCTAGTTCTTGTGCAAGCTGCTGTGCATGCTGCTTCCACTTATTCCAGATTGCAACGTAGCTCAACATCTACACCCAAACACAATGTATGGACTCCCATTTTTCTTCCCCTCTGATACGTGTAATTGTAATGACTTGACAAGCTTAGATGCATCGGAGACTAATGATGGCACGAGCCTTCCATGAGGAGCTTGAAAGTTGAAGCAATTCCCAGCAAGCTAGATTATCCTTCAAGGTACGGGAAATTTGTCACATGGTTACTAGATACCTCTTCACCGCACTACCGTTTGGGAGCATAGTTGGGTACATGATAAGAAGGTGGAGCATCTAACCAGAGAGGCATTTGCTAATTTTGGCAATGCGATCTCGGGTTTCCAGCTTCTTGATTGTTGTTGTGGTCAAGATCGTTGTGATAGCATAATTCTGTTGCCATGTGCCACTGAGAATGCTTCCGCCCTATTCATTATCTCTTTTTCTCTAAGCCATAACGTGATCTCCATGGCCATCCCTAATTTGCCTAAACATGTCGTATTCCACTCGAGACGGGTCTCGCGTGTTTGTCCAAGAGCTGGACGATGATTAGTTCTTTCACTCTATTGTTCACCTCCGCAAGAGTCATTGACCACTTCCCTCTCAACAATGCAGCTAGGCCAAAGAGATCAATTCCTCGAGACTAGCCTGCATCTGCCTTGAGACAGAGACTTACTAGATCTAGCTGTGACAATGACCCTGACCATCTCTTAGTATAGTACCAGTGAGAAATGCTGGTCTAAGATCGAAAAAAAAAAAGGCTGGAGTAATCATATTAGGTTGTGAATGGTATTGATCAGCCAACTGAGACAATGTCCAATCAGAAAACGTAAGTAATACTGTGCCATAGATCTCCAAAACAATAGCCCCAACTAGAAGTGAGAGAGTTATGCCTCTATCAACCCTCGAATAGCTGCACTTGTCGGCAAGGGTTGTCAAGGAAACTGAAGCAGAAACAGAGAACAAGAAACTAATGAAGCGGAGACCTTTACTCTAGTGAATTGAAGTTGCTTTTGTTTAGTAGACGTCGTACGAGAAGCATAGCTTGGTTTCAACTGGCTTAAAGGCGGCCGCCCCCTGACTTTTTGCATATGATTGAGAAACCATCTTGCATTTCCAAGAAGTTCACGATCACATCAGCTGAAAAGTATGTGAACATGAACGAGTAATAAGCTTCTCGGATGTTGCTTGCCTCAGAACTGAAATAAGCATCTCGTTTAATTTGTCCTGGGGTCCCTTTTTTGGATGAATTCATTGTAATGGCGGGATGGATCAAAGAGCAAGAGTGAGGCCCTCATAAATTTTCTTGAGTTAGAGGACTTGAGAACCCAAGTCCTTTCCCCATACTTAACAAGTCCTGCTATAAACACTAGAATTGAACAGACGCAAGAGCATTGGCCTTTTAGGACACAGCACGTAACCAGCGATCCCAACCTGGTAAGCTCAGCCATAGGTCATTGTCTTCCAAGTAGTAAGCCATGACATTGTCAGTACCACTGAGGTAGAAGAGAAGGAAGAGGGCCCAAAATGCGTGGAGATGGCTCATCGGATGATCACCGGGATTTCTTGTGCTTTCTCCTTGTTGCCTCGAGAGTCGGCTAGCACGTAAGTTGGCCAGAGGAGAAAGCTGAGCCAGGCTCCTACCATGTGCTCGCGGTGAGAGCCAAATTGTATAAGGATAATTTGTTGAAAAAGGCTGAGGAGAACCATCATGCGCAGCTCTCCTCCAGCGCTCTTCAAGAAGATCTTGATGGTGCTTCGCTTGATTTGGTAACTGAAAATGAATGAGGGAGACAAATCAAGATTCTTCTGCCAGATTATGGTACTGTTGTACATCATCTTGATTTGGATTGAATATTCATCGTGAACATTACCTGTGATCAGAATGGTAAAAGCTCATTTTTGACAGCGAGAGTCTGACATTTTCAGCCATTTCTTCATACTTGACAACTAGAGTCTGAGTTGAAGCGACAAATGTTCTTTCCTTACATTGCTTGTTTGAACTTATCAATTGATTCTTTTAGCAATGTTAAGAACTAAACCAGTCCGTTGAGGCAAAGGACGAGATAACTAAAATTGAAAGAAATTGCTCTGCAAGTTGCTTCATGGATTTAGCTCTTCAGTCTTCACAGGCAGAGAAAGAGAAGGCAATTCGTCTGTCTAATGTTTTTACCCCTTGAAAAAGAAAATGAAGGCGCTGGGAAACAAGAAGAAAGAAGGCGCTAAGTGCGACATTCTCCAAGCGATGAGGATGAGATCAACCTCACGCATGCTTGCCATCAGTAGTCATGTCCAATCAATAGCACGAATTACATCCTCCTGATTTGCCTTCTGGTAAATGTCCAAAGAATTAACAAGGCTCAATTTACAGAACGATACCGTAATCACGGTAGGAGAGACCTACTAAGCATCGTTACTTGTTTACACAAGAAATAATCACCAGTTCACTGTGGTTTCTCCATTAAAGGATGGGCATGCTCTTTTACTGAGAATATCTATAGGAAGAAAAGCTAACATTTTCGTCTTCCCACCCCTTAAATAACAGAAACAGAATCAATATTATACTCAAGAATCATAGATCCGGACTGAATTGGAGATCGACTGCCGACAAACAGGGCATTTTGGTGAAACCTCCCGTTCCACGGATAATGCACATCGCTGACAACACACAAGATGACCGCATGGAACAAAAGCGGATCTCCTCCTCCTCATGAGACAAATTACACATAACTGTCCATCTGGTACATCTCCCAATTCATCCTCTGCTATGTGAGTGTTGGGCTCATCGACTGCAGCATGGCTCTGCTGCTGTTGCTCATCCCGTCTACGCTGCCTCCACTCTTTCCATCTGTTCCAATTTCTGAGGAAAGAATATTCAGTCTAAGTCCAATAAAGTCAAAGATTATCGAGTCTTGAAGTCGACGGGATATAGAATACGGATTACAAATTACTTGGTCGATAGCTACCAACCTTACAAAAGCAAATCCAAGGATACCAACTGAAGCCGATCCAAGAAGAATACTACTCCAGAAGAGTATCTTTGTCCGGAAGGCAAGATCAATCACCATCTGATCTTTTGTCATCTCGGTACTGAAAAATGTCAAATAACAGTCAATTCAATAGTAATTGACACTGTCAAGGAAGGGCTGCCGGTGCAAGATCTAAGTAATATATCCTAAAGCATAATTATGTCAACAACCCTAGAAGGAAATATGAGATGGTCGATTCTTAACAACTTGAGTTACGTGAAGCAGACTGTTCGTTTACACAACATTCCATACTCAAACAAATGACAAGCATCAAAGGGAGAGGCATCACAATTTCCTTTGACAGGTAAGGGGAGAAATACTAGAATAATAGGTGGTTGTGCAGATCACCCGAAAATTCATGAAATTACACGACTGTTGAACTCTCCATGTTATGCAAAATGCAACCATACAAACTTCCAAACAGGACATTCACTACATATTCACATCCTTCTAGAAAACTTGACCAAAATTAGAGTGAATAAATTTGTACACATGGGTCGATTTATTATCAAAGAAAATAGTGCACATGGGTAATTAGTCCACAGATGGGAAAAGAATCTACAAGCAAGCATCAAGACTAATCCAATTTCCATCCATCACCATGAGAGGAACACTCACAGAAAATATGGAAGATCATTGCATGACTTGATCTCCGGAATTCCATTTTTCAAAAAGCCAAGGCCAACAGCACTGATGTCCTTTCCTATTGGAAGAATTTTCTCCTCATCAAGCAGTCCAACCTTCATAAAACAGAGAAAGAAGAGCATTGGGTCAGATACTTGTGTCAAAGTAAAAACATCAAAAGAACAAAATTGAAGGAACGGCAAGGTCTAGATTATCATAAAGATCTTCAAGGTGCAAGAAACATCATAGTTACCCATCTGCATCAAGAAGTATATGTCATTATATGTTGAAAACTTACAGGGTATTCATGACCAAAAAGTGCCTGAAGGAATGTGTAAGGAGAAGCATTAATCGGCTGCAGTTGGTGATATACTGTGGTAAGAGGTAGATGATGCTTTGAACCATCCATGTTCACAACAACATAATCCGCTGCCGGCCACTGACTACCATCAACGAGTACAAAAGGAACCTGCAGTCATACTAACAGATATAAGCAAGTCCGGCAACTAAAGCAGTAAGCCAATATTTGACTGCTCTGTTCTATATCATCAAACCCAAGTTTCTCATCGCACATAGTTAAGACCATCAAGAACAGGAAAAAGTATTACAGAAATTATTTTATAAAGACAATCTCAATAAGATGATTGTACGCAAACTTTTCTTGAGGAATCTTCAGTTTTGTCGGCCAAAAAAAGAGAAACCTCTGACTACTGAGATCCCAAATCTCCCGTGCACAATGCGAGAACAGAAGCATAATAACTAAATGCTTGAGACTGAAAAGCTAAGCCTTGTAAAGTTGTCTTATATCTCTCAATATCTTTAGCTTCACCAACTGCACATGTATTTAACGAAAGCAGTAACTCTCCCTGCCTTTTAATTTGGGATAAAGTACAGACTCTATAGCGCAACATCCCGTTATTCAGGACATGAACACCATGTGATGTCCCATGGCAACACCAATTTTGACATGTCTACAATCACGGTTGTATGTATAGTCTGCCAGACATTTCCAGTGTCAAGGGAGAAAATAAAATGTGATATTTACCCTTAAACCAGAAGGAGGTCCATCGTTCCTAGCTGAAGACAAACATTATGTAAAGTAAACCCACTCAAAGAACAAGTAATGTAAGCTTTAACAGCAGTTTTCCTAGCAAAAATATAGCTTAAATATAAGAACCAACCTCTGGAACAATTCTACTTACCGTTCTTAGTGATGAGGATTTTCTTTCTCGCAAGGATCTTGACAAGATAGCGCGTAGATCCGAAGTCCATCCAAAAAATCCCTTCCACTCATTGTATATGCACTTCATGATGGAAAATAGAAGATCAAGGTTATCAAATGATCATGGAAGACTGAGGTAAACAATAACAAATACGTTTCCGTAAAACCACTATCGGCACGAGCAATTACGACATTTTAATGCATGAACTGCAGTTATAATTGCTCAATTATGCGGATTTCACAAAACTAAGACCTGTCCTTTCATTGATATTATAGTTCTACAAAGAAAGAAAAAAATAAAAGAGAAATTATTGCGTAGTTCGAGCAAGATCCCTGGAGCAGATGACAGGATATGTGTTCCCACTCAACTGGAACTCACAATTAGGGGAGAGAAGGGTATAGGCACCTGGTGCATGTAAAAGCCCGTCAAATATGAGAGGACACCGAACAGCAGGGAGACCCTGAATCCTAGATTTTCCTCTATACTTCCTAAATATTGATCTTCCCTTTGCTTCTAGCTTTTTCTCTAGGTATGCACGCCAAATCAACTTTCTGGTGGTGTCTTCCCAAACCGGACTGGCATATCCTTCCTAAGGCCCAGAGACACCAATGCATTCATCCCCAGCCCATTGTAAATTTGTAATTACCCAAATATATATATATATATATCTCAAAAAGAGAAATGAAAGTGGTGCATGTATCCTACTCCAACAATGTTAAAGTCCTCATCTTTTCCTCCTTTCATCATGACCAAAATTACATGAGAGTCCACTTTATCATAAATTGCATCGCACTTACAGAAGAAGGAATTCACGTGCTAAGCCAAGACTATTTGCTATAAGCTTGAAAACTCTCGACTTTCAAATTGTCAGCTTTACTTCACATCACAAATGAAGAAATGCAGTGACACAACTTTACCAGCAAATGCACTCATACCAGATGATGTAGCTAAGTCATTGCTTCAGCCTCCCTACAATTCATGAAATCCTCCATTGTCTCAACATGCACTTATATTGAGACCCCACTCGAAAAAGAAGCAGCAGCGACTATGACATTTCCAAAACTAATCACACCAAATTCATAAGGACTCCTCGATACCTCAACAATCAATTTGCTTCCCTTTTGCAGTCTTGTGGCATTGAAAGACAAGACGAAACATCAACTCACTGAAATTGGCAATGACTTGCTTACACTCATGCAAAACATACGGATAGAACATCCGAACATGAGGCATACATTTACCCCTTGTACACATCTTCATGCTTTAATGCTACCACGAATTGTCAGACAAAGACCACTTTCAATTACGTTACATACTCGAGTAAAATATTCGACAACACTGCGTGTAATCACACTTACAGTTTGAGTCCTCTGTACGATCACCGCCCTATCGCCGGAGTCCTGCGAGACCAAGACATTCTGCCTCAAGCTCTTCCACGTCCCTCCTTCGACAGCCGATTTCGCCTCCACGAGTCCGCGCACGATCACGAGCTCCTCCGTTCCCGACCGGCTCGACGAATCGGACTCCGAATCGGAACCGCCTTCGACGGAGAGCACGGACCGGAGGTCGGAGACTCGGGCCGACGGGGCGTCCCGGAGCTTGCGGAGAGCGGAGGAGCTGGAGGTGAACTTGACGATCGTGCGGACGGCGGCGTAAGCGAGGGTCAGGCCGAGGACGGCGCCGTCGAACGAGAGGGCGAAGTTAGAGAGGAGAGAGACTATGGCTTGCTCGTGCGAGGACATGGCGCGGTTTCGGGGAATTAGGTGGTGGTGGTGTTTCCAGGCGGTCACATGTGAGCTGAGCGCGGTGGTGGCGGGTGCGATCGGAGTTGAGGCGGTGGCGCGTGGGGGCGGCGGGAATGGCTCTCGTCGGTGGCGAAGAAAGACGCGCTGCGACGATAAAAATATCTGACTCTCGACGATGACGGTTCATACCGGGAGAATGAAACTGATAATTGGGCTGATGGGCCGATCCTGGGCCCTTTGATTGGCCCAAATACAAATTGGGCCAAGCCCAAATTGGGACGATCATAGCTTAGAGACCCGTCTCCACGTTAGAAGAGCTAATTGATTTTCAGGTTGCGTTCTGTCTGGTCAAAGCCAAAGCAAAATGAATCACTTCGAATTTTATCAAATTCATTTTCAATTTTTTAGGAAATTGATGGAAAGATTCACAGTCAATTTGAAGGCTAATATCTACCTAAGTTAGATCAATGTCTGATCTCAAGCTCTAAACTTGAAAAGAAATATTCAGGAACTGAAAGTAAGAGATAGATATGACTTAGAAACGCCTTAAGATTGGAGAGCTCTACTGCAAACTTATCAATGTATCGACAGAATAGAAATTGAGCTTTGCTCAAATAAATTATTGTTGATAATACTATAATAATGGAATTAATAATGACATTACATGTATTTCAACCATCGAACGAGCAAATTAGAACAAGGGGCATTACTGGTCGAGGGAATTTTCCTCCAGACCAGAGAAACTATAGGCTATTTTTTTTGGCTGAATATTACATGCTAATTTGTAGGTGAATATTTTGTCAAAAATTCTTCATGTTTTGGACTTTCTCCTTGTTTTTAACGAATGTAAAGAGTCATTTATGAACTCTAAGATAGCTTTTGCATTTATAAATATGTATGAACATAAATGTAATTTAACGGCGGTGAAACTAATTTTAACACAAAATACTACTTATGAACATCGTTTTGCTTTTATGATACAGTAAGGTATATTACTCCGATGAGACTATGTTAGCAATTTACTAATAATGAGTATAATATTAATTAAGTTCACCAAGGATTGGCAGTCACTCAATTTAACGTAGTAATCTACGTCAAAGTTGAATTACATTTTCTGTGCTAAATCAGTGCTTGGTACTGCATTACAGTTTCTTTAGTGAGTAACTGCCACAAATCAAATCAAATCAAATCAAATAAAACAAATCCGCAATATTGTTTATTGTTAAGACAAATTTGGAACAACGGGGAAAGGGAGACTAAATACCCGTTAGAACCCCTCCTCTCTCTGCGGCCAAAATAAAAATACACAAACGGTCACGCACCATCACATCATTTCTTCTTCTTCATTTGCGTATTTCCTTTTCCTCTCTCGACGGAGCTAGATTCGGCTTGATTGGAGAGGGCAGAACCATTGCAGGCTCCGCCTACAGCCGATGATCGACGAACGGATGCCTTAGTGTTGGGGCACAGAGAGACACAGAGGAGTGGGGCTTTGGTCGAGACTCGGCGACTGGGTCGCCCGTGGCGGCGGCGAGGGGCAAGCGCCGGGTTGATCACCGGTTGAGGTGGATTAGTAAATTTCTCGAACTTTTTCCCTTTTCTAGCCTGTGTGAATGGGTGTTGTGGCATGACGATGATGCTGTGGTTTGTGTAAATCTCTTTGTAAGAACTTAAAATCTTCGTTCTACTTGATATGTACATACTTGTGAATATTAGTTTTTCCTTACATTAATTTGAACGAGACTTGCTATTTTTGAGACTTTTTTGGGAATTCATGTGGTAGTGTATATCCCACAATTTTCACCAACCTATCTGTTAATGTGGTAATGAGCAGTACTTTCTCTCTATTTTATAGAAGACTTTTGTTTTTTCCTTTCTCCATATTAACGTCTTGATTTTAAGTTTTCTATCAAAGAGTAACCCTATTTGAAGTTTCCATAAAATTTAGTTTTCAAACTCGCCACCGACGGAATTTGTACTCCTTTCTCTTATGTGTGCAAGACCTATTATTTTTCAAATAATTTTGGGGTTTTGAATTTGCTTTTAAAAAAACATGCATATTATGATTGATTATCCCACAAATTTGTTAAACCTATTTGTTGATGGCTTTTTATGAGCAGTAATTTTTAGGACAAATCTCTATTTTTCTCCAGAAAAAAAGTTAAGAATTTTTTTTTGTACGTTGGTTATTAATCTCTTGCTTCAATCTACTTTCTTTGAGAATAACTTGATTTGTTTGGCAGAGTTTTGTGGTTTTTTAACCTGTTTGTTGATCTTTTGTAACACGAACATATTGACGAAATATATAAAGAGATTGATATGTATCACGGGTCGATCGATCTAGAGTTCCCTTACCTGTGTAACCTTAGGAATTTCTTTCCAAGTCAGCCTTCCCAAACTCACTCACGAGAATCTTTAAAGAGAGAAACTCTAGAGAAAAGCTCTGGATTATATTTCACTTGAGAATGAGATTTGCAAGTGAGGAGAGGAGACCCCTTTATATACAAGTACATGACTGATCGTATCCGTAGATCTCTCGTCGATTTAATGGTGGAGATCGCACCTCTCTATCCCTAATCAAATGCCACCTCTCCATTGGCCAATAGATTTACAAGAAAAAGGTAAAATTACAATAATGTCCGCCCCCAAAAGTATTCTAGAACATATCAAGAAAACTCTAGGACTTAGTATCCTTGAGGTCTGCCCGTTCGTTCATGGATTAATCATGGTCCTTCGTTCAGAACCCTCGTGAACGATCCAATTCTCTCGGTCGTGACATTCTCCCCCACCTATTCGGGCTATACCCTCGTCATGTCTTCGACATAGAATACATCGATATGTTTCTTGAACTGCCAAAGCTCAACTTGCTTCACTCTCCGGAAGACCCTTCCATTAAATCAAATACTCTCGCTTTGGCGCATGATATGGCTTCCATATGACTCGATCCGCCATGATGAAGTCAGCGTCTCAATCATAGGAGGTTTTTACCCCAAGCGGCACCTATTGCGACTCCTCTCGATCCAGGTCTTTTTCGTTTACATGGAAAGGTCTAAGCATACTCACACGGAATACTGAATGTACCTTAAGTTTTGGTGGAAGTTCCAGCTTATATGTGACATTCCCGACTCATTGCAGCACTCGAAATGGCTCTTCATAGCGACGGATATGCCCTTTGTGTACATCCTTGTATCAAAAAACTAGGTGTAGCTTGGCCAACACCAAGTCCCAGACTTGGAACTTCACGTGCTGTCGTTTCTTATCGGCCCACTTCTTCGTGCGCTTCAAGGCCTTGTATAGACACGTTCGTGCCAAGTCTGCCTGCTCATGCCACTCCTTTGCAAACTTGAAAGTGGAGGGCCTACTCCCCTTATAGCTCATCATAACCGTACTCGGGGTGAGTGGTTGCTGCCCTGTCACGATCTTGAACGGACTTTGGTTCGTGGACTCGCTCCATTGAAGATTGTAAGAAAACTAGGCTATGTCGATCAATTTCGCCCAATTCACCTGTGTCGTACTCACGTAGTGCCAGAGGTACAACTCCAAGAGTGCATTAACCCGCTATGTCTGATCGTCGGTTTGGGGATGCACACTCGTGGAGAAATTGAGGTCCGACCCTAGTAATTTAAAGAGCTCGGTCCGGAACTTACCCGTGAATCAAGAATCATGATCACTCACGATCGTTGGCGGCACTCCCCAGTATTTGATGACATGCTTCAAGAATAGCTTGACCGCCTCTTCAGCCGGACAATCTTTTGATGCGGGCACGAAAGTCGTATACTTGGAAAACCGATCCACCACGATCAGGAGAGTCCGACACCCTTCAAACTTAGGCAAATTCACAATGAAGTCCATGGAGACACTCTCCCATGGACGCTTTGGGATAGGAAGTGGCTCTAAAGTCCCGTTGACAACCGTTGCTCTAGTTTGTCTTGTTGGCATACAAGACATGTCCGAACATAGGCCTTGACATCGTCACGCAAGTGTGGTTAATAGTACCGATCCTCCACAAGTACCATGATGCGGTGAATCCTCAAGTGACCCGTCCACTTAGAATCATGGTACTCGTGTAGGACTTCCATCCTTAGCTTTCCATGCAATGGCACGTACAATCGCCGCCCCTTGGTGTAAAGCAAGTCATCTTCACACCAAAATTGCCGAGTTTTTCCCTCCCGTGCATACTCAATGAGCGCCTTGGCAATTGGATCATGTTGCAACCCCCTCCTTATCCACTCGGTCCATGGATTCTCGAGACGACTGATGGACGCCAGCTCCATCTTCCGACTAAGTGTGTTGGCCACGGAGTTCGCCTTCCCAGGATTGTACTCAAGCATATAATCAAACTCCGCCAAAAAGTCTTACCATCGAACTTGCTTCGAACTCAACTTCTTCTGAGTCTGGAAATAGCTTATGGCCACATTGTCTGTCCTCACGACAAACTGGGATCCCAAGAGATAATGCCTCCAAATACGAAGGCAATGCACCACTGCAGTCATTTCCTTCTCTTGAACCGTATACTGTTGTTCGGTATCATTTAGCTTCCTTGATTCAAACGCCACCGAATGCCCATCCTACATAAGGATAATACCAATAGCATAATCAGAAGCATCGGTCTCTACCTTGTCAAGTTTGGCATGATCGGGCAACACGAGCACCGGCTCCTCGGTCATGGCTTGCTTCAAGCAATCAAATGTCTTTTTTGGCATCGGGCTGTCCACTTCCACAATTTCTCCTTCTTCAACATATCCGTGAGTGGCACGATGATGCTCGAATATCCTCGGACGCACCGTCGATAATAGTTGGTGAGGCCAATGAATGATATGTTGATATTACAGTAGAATGATTGTTGGAGTTTTCATTTCTGTAACTTTTGAAGGTGAGTGGACTGTGGAGTGATGTCTATAATTTTGGGTGATAATTTGATCTTGATTTTGTAATGATTATTATATTTTGGGCGATTATTTGGGATTGATGTTTCGCAAATTTCATAGATGAAATTAATTGGGGTGAATATATGCTAGTGTCATGAAACTATGAAGAAATATAGAGCAGAATAATTTTGAGGTTGCTGCTAGTGTCCTGTTTTCTTAAGTTTTGATATCGAGTCAGTTCCCTCAAGAACTTCGTGGTTGATGTTTTGCAACTTAGGGGACAATTTTACTTAAGGGGC